CCCCAAAACCCCAAAACCCCAAAACCCCAAAACCCCATTAGTCGAGGGGATATTTGAAGCTTATAAAATTTAACTAGAGGCCAATCAGAAAGGTTACAACTATACCACAACTTTGAGGGAGTATATCTAGAAGCTCTAACTCTACAAACTAGCTTTAATTCCTTGCTTTTGAGAGTCTTCGGTTATTGCTTTCTCAAGTAGAAATTTAAACTCCTTGTTCTTCTGTTTTTTGTAGTTAATTTTAGGTATTTCATGGCCTAGATGACAAAAGTTATTCATAAAAATGCTTCTTTCTTACCTAATATAAACGGGATCTTCTTGTTACTATCAATAGTTTTATTGAGATGGTCCTTGTTAGAGTATCCTGGGCCAGCCTTTTCTTGCCTCATGATTGGGGAGAAATCATTCCTAACTTTAGTAACCTGTTCACTCTTTTTAATGTCTTTATCTCCCAAGAGTCTTGAAGGAATCCTATTATTCTTCAAATAGACATTTTGGTAAGCGAATCTGTCGTAGTGCTTAACTGCTTCAGGAGTTGAGTCAATGGGAGCAGGGTTTGCATCTATATTAGTCTTATTTTCCATTTTAGAATATAATGGACTGATCGTCATGTTGACATCAAAAACTTTGTAATCCCTTGGTAGATCTTTATCCATATTTCACCCATCTTTCTTAATTGGTTTAACTGATGAAGATCTTCTGTGTAGTCAATCATGCTTAACAGTTTGAGGAAGCTCTTTAAAGTTATACGGAGAATCAAAATTCAGTGTAAAGGGTGTCAGAATTGTTGAGTCTAAATTCTTGTTCCTACGTGTAATATTCTTTGTAGGAGAAGTGCTGCTAGTGTCCTTTATCAGATGATCTTTACGTATAGAGGCATTTAAAGATGTCAAGATATCATTCTTCCAATAAGGGTCCACGATTTTATCATTTAGACCAGAAGTTATAGACTTTTTATGAGACAGCTTGATTTCAGAACTTTTTCCTCTTGTGTTAATTTTGATCATACCATAATCTTGACGCTTGACAAGCTTCCGTTGGCTCTTGAGAGTAGTCTCCCCATGATACAATTTTGAAAATTTTGAGTATTTGTTTGTGATTTTATTTTCTAGCCTTTTGAATAATGTTGGAAATATTAAATTTATCATCGAACTTTCTATTTCCGCTCCTTCTTCTCTTTCCCGACTCCAATCATCGGCAATATATTTTTACGTTTATGGCCCACTTGCTCCTTCTGCAACTGTCTTATTGTCTGGAACTTTTTCCTCACAGTCTCTACTATGCTTGGGTCCATTCTTCTGTAGTAATAATGTAAAATAATAATTATACATGGAATAGAGGGGTTTTGGGGTTTTGGGGTTTTGGGG